AGCATAGAAAATTAACCCCGAAGAAATTCACAAGGACAACTAGAGAGCTTTGTTTACCACACGAATTTGAATTTATCCATCAAGGGACCATCCATTTTAATCAACATCAAAAAGTCATGTACATGTGCTAGATTAAGCCACAATGGCTAAGGATAAGTAAAACACTTACGTTTTGAATAACTGGCAGCCAGCCAGCTCTTACTCCAACAAATATTACATGGCAAACAGTCCTTTGCAATATTAGTAAAGTGCACACATTTTGCTATAGGTGACACGTTCACCTTCAAATTAAAGTTGTTGCTTTTATCAAGTAAAAGCAGTATGCTTGTCTTTGCGAGTGGAACCAACACTTTAATGTTGCTTGTTTACTTTCAGATTCTCTGTTGACCAATAAAGGCTGAATGTGGCCTTTAAATGCTCTCCGTCGCATGTAATTTGAAATACTGTGTCCCATCTCTATCTGCAGGGGGCAGCACATCACAAGATATGTTTTATTTGCTCATTTTGCATACAGAATGCTGAGAAACAAAGCTTCGCTGCATTTTTTGCTCCGGCTTTCGAGATAAAGTCATAAAGTAAAGCATAAATGTTTTTAAGGAAGTAAGATAGATAGAAAGATAGAAAGAGATAAATAGAGAGAAAGCTAGAAATAGAGATAGGTCAGGTAATTTTATTTATATAGCACATTTTCAGCAACAAGACAGAGAGAGATTCCAAATGTCTTTTTGGAGATTTGGATGAGACTGGTCAGATCCACAAAATCACTCCTCATTTAGAAGGAAAATATTTGTCACTGAAATATTTTGTAGCAATTTCTGTTTATCCAATATTGGATTCTGACATAGCTGCAAGCTGTAAATGTGGAGAGGCACAATAAGCTGCGAACTAAATTATGGGTTTGTTAAGGCCCATCTATTAGTTTAGTTTTTGTTTTCTGTGCCGTGGTCAATTATTGATTTACATCAGAACTGTGCAAGTAAATCAGTCTCAGAACATCAAACCGTACATGAGATGAAAACGCTTGTTACCGGTTGAGCTATTCGTCTGGAGGCCTGTCGACATGAGTGAGATGGTTTTAGTCAGCCCCCTATTTAAGAGGCTCCCTGTGGCTGTGTCCGTCTGAAACATGTCAGCCATACAGATGAATGGGAGGTGACATTTTCTCTTGTCTGTAATAAGAAACCCCCGGAGTGGAATGATACTCCAGGTTTATGAGTAACAACATTTTGTAATACTGTAACTTTAAACATGAAATCTGCTGATTTTATGTTTTTTTTTTTTGTTTTGTTTTTTTTTCGATTGTTTGTCCTTAAAGTTAGTGATTTATTTATGAATTAGTTTGTGCTTTTATTATTCTGGCTTCAATGTCCATCTTTTTAGATTTATTATGCAAATCTTTTTGATTTGCTCACTTTAATTTTTTTCTCTTACTCTCATGTCGAATAACAATTTTTTATAAACACATTTTGAGCTCATCTTGCAAGACTGTAGACATGCTTACATTTGTCATTTCAACTCCATGGACAGATCAGATGTGTTAAACAAGAAAAGTAGTCAACATGACGATAATGATAAATAACACAGAGATCCACTCTGTCAGACTGCCAGCTTTTTTAGAGTGTACTTCACATTTTGTTGGTTGACTGCTGGGCTGGACACACACACACACACACACACTAAAGAGGACAGAGTATGTACTAAAAATAAATGAACAAGGAACAAAAAAAAAAAGAAATAACCACAAACAACTAAAGCTTACATTCATAGGCTGTTAGCGGCAAGTCAAACATTTCAGCTAGTTTTATTTCTAGAACATCAAAGGGATTTAAGGAACACAACTTTAACCTTTTATTGCTGGATAAAACAAGTGAGAGAAAACTGAAATAATTTAGTCTCCAGACAAGAGATGAATAACCATCCAAATAGCTTGCTTTGGTTCAGAATAGCAAAGACAAAATAACATTTAACCACTTTGATCGTCAACGTCAAACACATTCAACCCTGTTTACTTTCTTGATTTGTAGTGACAAATTAGTGGCATATACGTCCCACAGTCTGTGAATTTGCTTGACCATTCACAGCTATGGTGGTGACTGTGCACAGGGCAGTTCCCTACAACAACTGACCAAATGCTGCTGTGGACACCATCTGCTGAGTGGAGAGCAAACAGAAAAAGTCACAATCTGTTTGCTGGAGCATGCATCATCTTCACGTGTTTACTGTGTCAATGTGGGCATGTGAAGAATCCATCTAATTGGCTGTGATTAATACATTTATATTCTTTTACCAACAAAACATACAATAGACAGATTAGAAAAGATTACCAATAGTTAAATTGTTTTGTTATTAGATATTTAGAGTCACATATTTGAAGCATCTGTAAAATAATTGAGAAGCAACTGCTTTTCAGCCAACTCATCGAGTTTGGACGTTAGTGGAAAAATAGGAAGTTGGATATTCCTATCAACCTCTATCACCTGTAAAGGTTTGGATATGTCAGAGTGAGAGAGGACAAAACACAATCATCAAGAGGGGCGGGGTGCCTGAGGGACAGAGAAGTATTCTGATACTGATGTACAAATTTACATAAGGTTGATGAGCCATAAGCAAGATATATTGAAGCTCATCAGTCCAGAAAAGAGGTGACCTACAGAAAGCAGCAGTATGATTTTAGAGTATAAAGATGTAATATTTTCTTTGAGAGATAAATGGGAGTAGAAAGGACAACAGAAGAATTTATAATGTCTCTTTGTGTTTTCCGAGACATTATCTGAGAATTTGGCACAAGATACAATCCAGTCTCTCACAGTCCAAGTGTTGAACTGCATGAGAATGAGATTCTGATCTATTGCGACAGCAGGGATTAGAAACAAAAAAGAGCCGTCACAGGTAGGGATATGGTATAGATGGAAAATTAGGAAAATTCAGATGAACCAAACAACATTTGTGTGTAAATGAGGGGGAGGCAGGTAAATTAACAGATTTTAAGCACCTTGGCTGAACAATTCAAAACCAGTGCACAAGAAAAATGAATGGCAGTGTGAAGGAAAGGTGAAGTGGAGGTAAGCAATTGTCAGGGATGATTTGTGTCAGAAGGATAGCAATAGGCGTGAAAGAAACGGTGAAAGGGAAAAATGGCAGTGAGTCCTGCTGTGATGTATGAGTTAGATATGGTGGCACCAGCAAAAAGACAGGGGCAAAGCCGGATGTCGCAGGGTGACATTTTCTTTGTTAGTGGCTAAAATGAACAGGATAAGGAATAGGTTTTCCTGCAGGATAGTTTAGGTTGTGAGATGAAGTTAGAGAGGCAATGCTGTTATGGTTTGGACTAAGGATGTTTAAAATGAAACTTCCTTGGTGAAGGAAAATAGAGGAATGACAGAGAAGATTCATGAATGCAGTGAAGAAGGGTTCTGCTGGAAATAGGGTGAGATAAAGGCAGAAGATCTGCACCTGTGATTTCTAAATGAATTAACCAAAAGCATAAGATTGATCTACTATTTATAAAATTTTGCCCCCCAAAACAATCAAAACTCATAGGTGGAGAGCAAAATAAAACTTTACCAATAAAAAAACAAATAGCTTCCAAAGTTATTATTTTAAAGTTATTACTTTACCACTAAATACCAAAATTGTTCCATTTTGTATTTAGTAAAGCAATTATTAACAGTTTTATTCGCCTGTATTTAATATAAATTAGTCCATGTTAGATAGGAAACAACCATTTATTAACAACAACATAAATAACAATACAAATGTCTAAATGCATTTATACAGTGGACCATCCCATAACCCTGAGCGGAATCCTTATCTGGCAGACGACCCATAACAGCTTTTACCTCAGGTTTAAAAAGCAGCCGTTCACACCTCCCACCACCACATTATCCACATCTCACTCTGACACGAAATCTCCCCATGCACCAGCCGCTCTTCTCTCCTCAGACCACCTGCCTGGACATATGATCTCTTCAGAAGATGTAAATAGGTTTGTTGAGCATAAGAAGAGCAAGAAACTTGCAGAGCCTGACAATTTCTCCTCCTGCGCCCGGAAGCCTGTGCTGACCCCCATCTTAACTCAAATCCTCAGGCTCAGTCCTGCTTCAAGCGCTTCGCCATCATTATGGTCAACAAGAATGCAACATCACCAGGATAAATGACTACAGGCCGGGGCAAACAACTCTGCAGAATATGCAGTCATCTTGAAACTACATCCTGCACCACCTAGGGAACAGGCGGACCAGAGTTCGTATTCCTCTTCACTCTGGACACAAAGGACACAAACCTCTGCAGAGCAATCTGTGAAATTCCTGAAATTTGCAGATGACTTCACTGTTATTCTGATCCAGTTCGTTGGCCCACCCTTTCTCAGAACCTGAGAAGGTCCTCACACACAGTGGATGTTTTGTTCAGAAGAAAGCAGACTTACTTACTGCAGAAACTTAAGAAGTACACAATATGTCATGGGAGATGCTGTTTATCTTCTATTCTGCCATTATTCAGTCTGCGCTTTATTTGTCCATCACTGTGTGGTTTGGCTTGTGAATTCATGTCTATGGTTTGGCTTATCCAGAAAACAGGTCAACTCCAAACTACAACAAACAATTAGGTCTGCAAAGAAAATCATAAGGGCTAATCATCTCTTTCCAAAATTTGAATAGGTCTAAGTTCAGGACAAGAGCAGCTTAAAACTCTGCAAACCTGACACATCCTGTACACAAACTGTTTAGACTTTTCCCTCAGGCTGCCTCTCTTATGAACCTTTGACACAGTGCCTGGATTGACACTATTTGCACAAATTCAACCTCATTTTCCTCTTTTATCTAAACACAGCAAAAAGACAAATAAAATATATTTTTCGTAATATTAATATAGCTATTTATTTTCTAAATGTTTCTGTTTTGAACCGAAATCAAATTCCTTGTTCCAGATTCTGATGGAGACCTTGAAAGTAAGCGTCGAATGAACAATAGTCTCGAATTCTCTCGCGATAATTGACTCTTCGACGCGACGTGTTTTGGAGCTAATCTGCTGCAGCGGCTGTCCGAGCTCGGTTGGTGGTGGAAGTAGAGCACGGTGAACAGAAACAAGGTTAGAATGCTGGGAGGGGGTGGTTGGACGTCTTAACATACAGAGATTTAATTTCAGAACGTTTTTCCATCTGTGTTTGAACTCCGAACTGCTGCACAATGTTGTTTCGGTAAAAGTTTCACGACGCTAATGTATTTTGAGTTTGTTCCTCAGCAGCTTGTTGCAAAGGGGAGTTTAGAGTTGCGAAGTTGGTTCAAGAGTTACGGATGGAGTTTTAAATAACGATCATGCATTTAGTAGCTCACATGTCCTTCTTTGTGCATGCATTATAACATGGTTTGTCAATGATTTAACACCACGTCTGCTTACAGACACACAAATAACCTCATGTACGGACGAGTCTTGATTTTACTCTGTTGTACAATGAATGACTTACGCCCTTTGAACTTTGTGACGGTCCAGCTTCAGACTTAAATGTTTCTGGGGGGATATTGTGTAATAGAGCCACTCAAAGTTCACGTACATAGTTGTTAATGTGGAGGGAAACTTATGTTTTTTTATGTTTTTATAAAAAATAAATTAGAGTAATGTGGCGTACAATCATATTATGCCAAACTGACTGGCCAGGTAAGGCTAACATTACACAGTGGTAAGATGGGAGAAACCATCAGCAGCAAAACATATCTGGTCTTTTTGGTGGAAAGAAGGCCAAGTTCAATTTACAATTTTTCACATAATTGGTCTACATGTATACCATTTGTTTGTAGAAAAATTAACACTACACACAATCCAAATGGCGAAACACAGTGGTAGCAGCATGATGCTGTGGGAAATGCTTTTCTTTTACCGTAGCAGGGAAGTTGAAAACCAGTTAGAGGCAGCTAGAGGTGGTTCTACAACATATTGACTCATCGTGATCCACGCAAATCCAGAGAAATTGAACCATGTCACAAGAGTATCCGCCTCACGGTTACTGGTTACTTTGCTTTGGAATGTCTCGCAAACTCCCAAAACAGTTTAAAGGGTGTGAGTACTTTTCAAAATAAACAATTATTTACTTTTTTTTTTTTTTGTAACCTGACCTCAGATTGGAGCATCATGTCAAAATTAAGTGGGAAGGTCCAGACCGTCCTGGGTCTTGTGGATCCAGACCAGCTGGGCCGCACCATGACCCACGAGCACCTGGTCATGAGCTTTGAGTGCAGCTACACCACACCTCCACCTGGTGACGAGGCCGTGGCAGAAAACCCGTTCCAGATGCAGCACATGCACTGGCTCCGGCAGCACCCCTACAGCTGCAGGGAGAACTTGTTCCTGTCGCAGGAGCTCAGCGCCCTACGGGATGAGCTGCTGGCCTACAGGAAGGCTGGCGGGGGCACGATAGTGGAGAACACCACGACGGGCATCGACAGGGACCTGCCTGCCCTACGACAGCTGGCCAAGGACACCGGGGTCCACATCATTGCAGGGGCCGGGTACTATATAGACTGCACCCACACTGAGGCCACCAAGAAAATGAGTGTGGAGAAGGTGAGTACCTGTGTAGTATGATCTTTTCATTGTGTCTGTGTGTGCAGTTTTCTATAGTAATAAGGCGAATTAGACTGGCTATCAAAAGTATTCACACCTCTTTTACTTTCTCACATTTTGTCACATTACAACCAAAAACTACAACAGTATTTTATTGGGATTTACACAATGGATCAAAACACAGTGGTGCATAATTTCTATAGGGATTGTTATCTGAAAAGTTGTGAAAAAGTGAACCTCTACCACAGTCAACAGTCTTCTCCAGACCTTTATCTCTGACCTGTCTGGTGTTTTCTTTCCTTTTCATGATGCACTTGTGTTTTTTACTAAAATTAGATTCCACTCAAATGACTCACTTTGCTTAACAAGTGACTTCTGGAATTTTTTTACGGGTATCAGAGTAAAGGATGCTGAATATAAACTCAGGCCCAACTTTAAATTAATCCATTTAACTTTGTGGTTGTAACCTGACAAAATGTGATAAAAAGGGGCTGCAATTATAAGTCTGGAGGACCGCTACTTGATATTGCTGTGCTGTTGTTTTCATCCATCACACCTTCTCTCAACACTTTGTGTTAATATGCAAAGATTTTCTCTGAAACTTTGGATTGATTTGGATGGATCTCTGGCTGTTCAGTCTTTCTGTATTGACACATTGACAGTGTGCATGCACTCGTATTAATATTCAAAACTGCTGTTCAAGTTTATGTCTGTTCACGGAGAGAAGAAGAGGAATGTCACTAACTTGTCAGTCGCTTGTCTAAAACGGGATGTTTTCCATCTTTCACTCCTCGTTTCCATCAGCTCACGGATAACATCGTCAGCGAGGTGCTCCACGGCGCTGACGGCACAGACGTCCGATGCGGCGTGATAGGTGAGATCGGCACCGGCTGGCCCATCACGGAGAGCGAGAAGAAGGTGTTGAGAGCCACGGCCCACGCTCAGTCTCAGCTGGGTTGCCCGGTTATCATCCATCCTGGCAGGGACCCGGCCGCTCCAGTTGAGGTCGTCCGGATTCTCCAGGAAGCCGGCGGTGACATTAGCAAAACTGTCATGTCTCACCTGGACAGGTGAGAAGTTCATCAGACCCAGGTTCTGGAACGGGGCGCCCCACCGTATCTGCTGGCCAGCTTCCTTACCACATTTACCTTCATTGCTCTCATGAAAAATCTGCTAAAAGCGTATTATGCTTTGAACTTTTCTTTTTTCCGTTGTGAATGTTTGTGCCACATACTCAACACATAACAAGAACTGCATACCCAAGTTTGAATTCACTGATTTGAACCAGTTGGTCTTCAGTTAAAGACCCAGCTTTTAACCAAAACCTATACATTTTCAACAGTGTTTTAAGTCAGGCCTTAGGAAATCCATTTAAGAAACATCACATAGGCTTTCAACCATTTCCATGCTTAGTTAAGAGAAAAGTCATACTTTTACATCAAACTCTTGTTTTTTTTTAATCACTGTAGTTGTGGATAACTGTTCTAATTAATCATTAAACATCCAAAGTTAATGACAAACATGCTCATCAGGATTATATTTAAAGATCCGACCAGCAAAACACGCAATTTTCAGTTGCACATTTCTGAAATGAAATAAAAAGCTGAACATTTAACTCGGACAATGACGTAAATAAAACATAGTATTATGATGGCTTCTGTGATACAAAGTTCAAATCTAAATATCTAAAGACTGCTTAGTTACCGCTTAGATCCTCAAAAGAGTTTGGTGTGAAATATGGCAACGATTTCTTTCGGATTCTCGTAAAACACTGGCGTCACGATGAAGCTAAATGAGTCAGGTTTCCGCTTCTTTCATTCAGGACTATATTTGATGAAGGCGAGCTGCTTGAGTTTGCAAATATGGGGAGTTACCTGGAGTACGACCTGTTCGGAACGGAGATGCTGAATTACCCGTTTAACCTTAAAGTGGACATGCCCAGCGACAGCCAGAGAGTGAGAACGTGAGTGATGCCGCTGCTCTCAATCAAAAGTTTTTCCTCTTTTGTAAGGGATCCAACATTCTTTGTTCAAACACTTCTAATTTAGTGCATTAGTATGCATTATCTGCTTTATGTCATGCTGTTATACTAAAATATGACGTTTATGCCATTGAGTTGATTTATGTGCCATCCCAATTCCAGTGAAGTTAGGAAATTTTGTAAAACATATGTATATATATATATATATATATATATATATATATATATATATATATATATATATATATATATATATATATATATAATAGTTTGCAAGCCCTTTTCTAGCTTTATTCAATTCAATTCACTAAGATATGTAATGTTCAGTTAAACCTGATCTTGTTTTTGCAGTTGTTCACTTTTGCATTTGATGCCTCCAACACATTACAAAAAGTTGGGATAAGGGCAATAAAATATTGGAAAAGTTGAGAATGCTCAAAATAAACTTATTTGGATCCTTCCTGCGGTGAACAGATTACTTGGAAACAGGCGAGTGTCATGACATTTCTAAAAGACTGAGTCATTCCTAATTAAGGATAGGGTGACATTCCCCTTTGAGTCCCCTTTGTGAACATCTGTGTGAGCAAATTGTCCAACAGTTTAGGAACTAACTTTTTCACCAAACTATTGTGAGGAATTTACGAATTTCATCACCTACAGTCATTCAAAAGCCAATAACACTGACAAGCGCTGCCAGTTTCCCTGGTTCCAAGCTCATCTGCGATGAACTGATGCAAAGTGGAAAAGTGTTCTTTGGTCTCATGAGTCCACATTTCAGATTGTTTGTGGAAATCATGGACATTCTTTCTTCCATGCTAAGAAGGAAAAGGACTGTTATCAGCTCCCAGTTCAAAAGCCATCATCTGTGATAACATGGTGGTGTGTTGCACATCTGTGAAGGCAACATTAATGCTGAAAGGTGTATAAAGTTTGTGGAGCAACATATGCTGCCATCTAAGTGGCATCTTGTCAGGGTCACTCCTGCTTATTCCATTGTCAAGCCCGTTATAACATTGTAGCTTTATAGTTAAAGAGTATGATTACTAGACTGGCCTTCCTGCAGTCCAGACCTGCCTCCCATTGAAAATGTGTGCCGTGTTATGAATTGCAAAACACTGCAGCGGAGACGCCAGATTGTTGTGTTACAAGTTTTTACATCAAGCAAGAGTAGGAAAGAAATCCACCTGCAAATCTTCAGCTCCAGTGTTCTCATTTCCTAAATGCTTTTTGAGTGTTGTTAAAACGAAAGGAGATGTAACACAGTGGTAAACATGCCACAGTCCCGACGTTTTTGGAACGTGCTTCAGGTATCAAATTCCAAGTGAAAAAAAAAACAACAATAGTTTATTAATTTGTGAATTACATATCTTGTCTTTTTGAAGATAATTCAATTGAATATATGTTGATTAGGATTTTCTAATCATTGCATTCAGTTTTGTTTGTGTTTTAAACAACGTCCCAACTTCATTGGAGTCGGAGCTGTCTTTATGTTTGCAATATGCAGACTTTGCACTTTGGTATTTCACATGCTTGTTGCTGGTGCGTTTCCAGCTTGGCTTTTCTAGTGAAGGAGGGCTACGAGGACAAGGTACTGGTGGCCCACGACATCCACACCAAGAACCGCCTGACCAAGTTTGGCGGCCACGGCTACTCCCATATTCTCAAGAACATCGTGCCGAAGATGCTGACGAGAGGCATCACTCAGCACCAGGTGGACAAAATCCTAATCGACAACCCTAAACGCTGGCTGACCTTCAAATGAAACAAACAAAAGAATAATGGAAGCTGATTTGACAGAGCTGTGATTTTATTTTTTTTCAGCATCACACAATGAACATTTTGAGATCATTACAATAATCACAACCATTTGTTTAACCCACAATGGTTAAACATAAATAGTGCTAGTGATTTTTTTTTCTGTGTTTTGTAAACATAATAGTTTGCTGCAGATTGTTCAGATGAAGAACTTTTAGAAATATATTTTAAATTAGAACTTGAGATCTACTAATGAATGGGCCAATTTTCCCTTGACTGACTCTCATCGGTAGTTGGCAGATCAAATACTGAGGCATATGACTTTAGTTTTCCTTTTTATTACATGTATGAAAGCTCAGTTGTCTTTAATATTTAATAACCAACAAGATGCACTTCTTTATTGATTTTAACCAAAAACAGATACGATTGTTGGTGCATGGAAACAATTAAAAAAAAAGTGTAATTGAGGCCTTGCTAATTAGTACTGTGGTGTATTATATACTATTTGCTTTGTGTTTTTGATGATACAGTTTTCACTTTGTTGTCAAGACTTATAATTTCCCCTCCGTTTCATGTGCTTTTCCCCCTCTGGCCTCCTCAACTGATTCAAATTAGGAATGCACTGATCTACTGTAGTTGTGCAGCGTCTTATCAAGTCCAGAGGACCCCAAAACATTTCACACTACATTCAATCATTCACACACACACATTCACACGCTTATATATTATGTTCATCAAAATCAGACAAATGTTAGGGACATGTGGTTTTATGCATCAAAAAGAAAATAATGCTGTTATTTTCTCCTCCCAGTACAGTGAATATATATTTTTTTTATCTTAATCGGTCAGTTCTGAAATTGCTTGGTCAGACCTCAAAAACCCGAACTTGGTATTAGTCATCAAAAGCCTAATCTACAAGAAAAAATATTTTTTTCTTTCCACTTTTGATCATGCATTAGTCACTTTGCAAAGGAGTTTTGCTCAGTATTTGTGCTTTTTCTTTTCTTGTTTTGATCTCATTGGTTGGTCAAACTTAGCAATACACCAACTGATCAGCCAGAGATTGGAATCAGCAAAGTTGATTCAAACGTACTACCACAGTCAGCTGTAATGGTTCTTAAGAATTTTTTTTTTTTTGAAAAAACAGCAGACAAAATCGGCAAATCAGATCTAAATGAAAACACAAATCTATCGACTATAGAAAACCTAATCAGCGCATCTCTAAGTAAAACTATTTGATTTGTTTTTGTGATTATTAGTCATTTCATAAAGGAGGGGCTTTTTTATGTTGTTTTGATTGGCCAAAATGACAAAATATTATCCCCTTTGATTGTATTCTCTGGAGAGGTGCCCACACATATGGTGCTACAGTAATTACCTTTTTTTTAATTTAAACATCATCGCTCCTCCTCCATTTGAGACATCTCTGTGAACATGCTTCCTGGCAGGTGAATAAATGAGTCTGCTCGTAATCAGTATGCTCCTCGGATCTCGTCTCCGTGTGCTCGTGTTAGATGAGATGTCCTGTTGGCCCCTCATTGGGTGTCTCCGTGTGCCTGTGGGAGAACGCTGGCGGGTCGGCCCAGATGAAGGACGCGTCCTTCCCTCATCTGGGAACAGGTGGCCTCACAGGGTGACTTCAACACATGATCAATGGCGAGATCGCCACAGCTGACTGCGCACCATGAACAAGTACATAAGTTGGATTAATCATGTCAGGGCGTTACAAAGGAAGCCAGATGATTCCATTTTACATTTTTTCTGATGTTTCTGATCAGGGAAAGCATAAAGTTCAGTAAGCAGATTGGTGAATGTTTCAGAGTTTTAGGAAAGATATGTCAGTGTCGCTGTCCAGTTTTGGTGACTAAACAGGCTACCCTGCTGCTTAAACCAGATGCCATGTTTGACACACACACATGAAAAATGACTTGCACTGATCATTTTGCCAATATACTTGTGCTTCATAAACATCACATCATTAGATGCTGCACAGTGTTAAAATGTCAACGTCTTATAAACATGCATCACGATTTTTAACATCTTTGCCCAAAATGCAGTGGCTTGAACTGTTTTTTTTTGTTTTTTTGTTTTTTCTTATTGGTGAATAAAGCACAAAAATTGACAAACACTGACGTGAGTAGTGGTAATGTGGGTATATAATAAGCGTCTGTGAGTAAGTGCTAAATGTAGACACTTGAAACTTTCAATTTACCACAGCAGCTACAGTTAGTTAATTTGTAAAGCCTATAACAGTTCATTGAGAGCGCACAAGCAACAAAACATCAACCTGACTTTGCTGTACAAAATGAAAACTGGAGTTACACTCTCAGCTCCTCACTGCTGCAAAGTAGAGTTTCTTTGTGCATGACTTCCTGCAAATCTCTTGGAATGATGTTCAACAGAAACGGTGAGCTCTTTCCGTCTCTGATGTCCCGGGTGGACTGAGCAGGAGCTGTGAAAGCAAGCTTATATGTAGAGAGTCGGACCCAATTCCTCCAGCCTGCTTCAGTCAGCATACAGCATGAAGCCGGAGAAGGTGCTGTACTTGTTGTTGTTTCCGCCGTGCGCCTTCCCTCCGTCCAGCTTGATGTAAATCTCATCCCCGGGTTCCAGGTGGAGAACGACGCTGTTGCTGGCGTAGTCGTAGTTTTGGTCCGCGTCCTGCGCGATGGCGCTAGCTCTCACCTGAAAAGGAAAGATTTCTACTGATTAGATTCAGAATCAGAACCATCAACATTTTTGATGAATACTAAAACGGTTTATCAGTGTATTTGAACATTTGTCATCACCTTGACTTTTAAAGCAGGAGATGTATTTGTGCGTAAAAGCGCAAAAGGCATAAATTGTGCCGTTTTATCCTGAACTGCAGTCCTGGTGACCCCTCAGTAGATTTCACTCGGTAATCAGAACCATGGACAGTTCGATCAACAATGGATTTTTTTTTTTTTTTTTTACGTACAAGATCCGTTCAGGTAAAACGAATCAAACCCTGGTTTCGATTCTCACCTGGTTGTTTTTGCAGAGGTCAGCCCACATGCTTGTTCCATCCCCGCCTCGCATCAACACATGGTAAACGAAGAAGTAAATTCCGGGTATGGAACAGGTGAATTTTCCTGTTGATGGGTCGTAGTGGTTGCCGAGATTTGTGACCACGTCGTCAAATTTTAAAACTTCATAGCCCTCATGCTGCTTCTTCAGCCCTGCGTAAAACGCTATCTTTGGCACCGTGTTGTAAGTGGCTGCGCTGATGGCACCGGTTGGTCCATTCGCTCCTGGTAGCCCAGGTGGACCTGGTGGTCCAGGTGCTCCTCTCTCCCCGGGTGGACCCGCCGGTCCCGGTGGCCCCGGCTCACCAACCGGACCCCTGGGGCCCATCCTCCCGACGCGCCCCGGCTCTCCCTGGGGACCCTGGATGAACGTCGGCAGCGACTGCACCAGGCGGTTGTCTTTGTTCGGGTGGGTCGCTTTCGCCGTGGCTGCCGTCGCGGTCCCATGGGAATCGCACACCATCTGACAAGATCCGAGCATCTCATAGCGGGCAGGATTTCGGGCAGGAGTTCCGGCAGAGTTCACCATGACCGGAATCAGCACCACCAGCACCAGAACCAGCGCCACGCCGCAAACACCAGTTGCGATCATCTGCGCCCTGCGTATTCGCGGCGTTCTTCCAATTTGGTGGTCTTCCAGCCTGCTTGAGGGCGATATAATTGCAGAAGAAAGAATCGGACCCGTCCTTGAATTGCACCGCAACCTCTGGAGGTGGAAAAGTCTTTAAACCGCTGCGCAAAAGTAACCATCCAAAACTTTTACGCCTTGGAGGATCGATCCAGCCGGCTCATCTCCACCTTCTTCAGAAGACTTTCATGGGAGACGAGGACATGAAGACTGCAGCTTTCTGCAAGTTTCAGCTTATAGCGCGGAGCAACACAGAGAAAATGGGCTCAAACTGAAGCGCTACTCCTTTCTGGAATTGAAGAGTGAGGGGAGGGGTGGACATGATGGATGGGAAAGAGTCGGTGCGTTTCTTCAATCAAATTGGAGAGGATGAACAACATACAAACACTGATGCAACTTCAAACTTTGAAAATAATAAAAAAAGTTGTTTTGTTTTTTTGTCTTTTTTTGTCTGTGGAGTAAAAGGAGAGGTTTATTTTATATGGATCAGTTTTCCAATTGATTGTTTCAAAGCTCCATCCTACAATATGTTGTAAGGGCTTATCCAAACAACTTCAACTTAATTAGCTCCATTTAAGACAAAAGGTCACACCTCAGTGGCTCCCTGTGTCCAATTTATCATTTGGAGAAAATCTATAGAGCCACTGAAAGGAGGAGAGGAGTCAGTAGGAGCTGGCGTTGAAGGATGACTCCACAGATCTACTGATGAAACCAGTGTTGGGCCATTTACAGGAAAAGCTGGCAAAAATAACTTAATTATCTAGCAGTTAGCATCAAGCAGTGGCTGTTGGTTAAAAACGGTAGCACAGATCTGATAAATCATAGGTATTTGGAATGAGATCAGAACAAATCATGTCATAACTTGCTCCACACAGATTTCCGGGGGAGGGGATTATATAAAAAAGCGATCCCAGTTATAGCTCACATTAAGAGGAATGTGTACATTTTGTATATTTCCTTTAAATATGAACATCTCTGAATTTCAATTGGGAAGTAAAGGTGAAAGTGATGCACACATTTCTGAAGCGTTGATTGTGCCAGAATTTCAATTCTGAGAACTTTAGGGGGGGGGACAAAAAAAAGTCTGTTAATTTGACTGAGACCTAGATAGAGCCACTGCTAAAACTTTAGGCTGTCATCAGATGTGTTTGTGCAGTAAAGAGAATCAAGCAGTTAGAGCCATACCCCTGCACTCTCCCCTCCATCCTGATTGATCTCATCCAGCTTCTCATTAGGTTTTTGTTCTCTTCTCTTAAAGAGTTTTGCAGGGGAGCTGAAAGCACAACAGTGTATCACACAATGCAAGAAGAAACCCGTTTTCACAAAACAGAAATATTTCAACTATTTTAAAATGTATATATAAACAGTATTCTTATTGTTTTATTAGATTTTTTTTTTAATAACTTTTTAAAATTAGTATTTTTATTATAATTGATTTATTAGATGCTAAATATTCTCAGCTCCTCAATTATTATCATTATTTTAATTTTCATTTCTTGTATGGTGTTTTATATTTTGATAGATATTGTCATGGCTTGTCCTTGTGAGACTAATCTACAATGCAATTCTGCTTTGCAGGTTTAAAACCTAGGCTAAAATAAAAAAAATACTATAAAGTAAAAGAAAAAGAAGGTTACAGATAAAAAAAAAAGAAAATTTCAGGCTGCAGTTTGAGTAATTTATTTAGAGGGTGGGGGAAATCCAGTTATTAGAAATAATTGGGTTTGAACAAACTGATGTCAATATTGGCACTCCACCCACTCTTTTACCAATAACAATAATTATGCAAGAACTAGAAAGAGGAGCATTCTGTTTCCACTCAAAAGTCAAAATGTTGAACTTTGAGCAGCATTCAACAGGAGATAGTATGCGGTCCCTGATTCAAAACTTTAATCTTCTTCCCATGAAGTCATTCTTTAGTTGATCTGGATGCATCCTTGGAGTCACTGTGATGAAAAATAAAAATCCCTCTTCATCTTCAACTTTCTGGCAGATAATTCAAGGTTTTGAGCCAAAACACACTGTTTGAAGCCATGCATCATTTCATCCATCTTGGAAAAAGAAATTAAGTTCCATACGAATATATGGTGTGGACTTTTCTTTGCACTCTTCCCCTGACTGATGCTTTCTATAAAAAGATTTTGCTCAATCCTTTGTAACCTCTCTAGAAAATATGTGTTTGGGTTTTGGATGCACATAAGCAAATATCAAGAAAATCCAACGAGGACAGTTGGAGTTTAATTCAGGTTAATCCAATTCACCATCACAGACAGCAGATGTAAACTCAAGGAAAAATTAAAAGTTGAAACTAAATTGAAAAGTGTATTACTTTAAGGGCCTAACCTTCATTAAAGCTTTTTATTTTTTTTCCACTAATAAATTAGCTTGTTTTACAGCTGAATTAAACGGAACAAATGTAAAAGTATATGCATAAAAAACTTTGAAGTAATTTATCATGATCTGTTTTTTTTTCATCACAATAAATGTATAAAAGGCTGTGTGTACACCTTGCAGAGACACTATACATGGTTTAAGTGTATATAAATACATTCAGTTTCAGTTTTTCCCTGAAACATGGTCCCGTGTAATTTTCAGTTTGTTATTGAGTGGCAGGTGTTGTTATTGGGTTCGTTCCAAGAATACTCCACCACCGAGCTCTAGCCTTGGGACTAGTTAGATATGAACAAACAACCAATGGTTCTGGCATTGGGCTGGTATATCTGGATGAAGGTGAACATTTTGAAACAGAAAGCAATCTGCAACATAAGAATGAAGTCATTCTTGGCCAAGTCATGAAAGATTTGGTCAGGATTACATTGAAAAACTAACTAAGGATAATTCACAGAATCACTGTACGGTGTTGTGAAAAAGCATTTAGCCTCTCACAGATCCTTCAGATTATCAAACAAATATTCATATCAGATTAAAAGAACCTCAGTAAATACAAAAGCAGCTTTTCAAATGAGAATTTATTTAACTAAGTGGGGGGAAAAAAACTATCCAAACAAACCTGAAAAACTAATTATCTCCTAAAGCTAATAACTGGTTGTAGCTGGTAATAACCGCCTCAAGTGTTTGTAACAACTACCCATCTGTATTTTACATCTTCGGAGGAATTTGACCTTCCCTTGTTTGTAAAATTGTTTCAATTAAACCATTGTTGTGTTTTTGAACACTAACAGCATGTTTAAGATTAGGCTACAGCCTCTAGTTAAATTTAAGTACAGTCTGGGACCATGTGGAAAATCTTTCTCTGGGATTTTCTTCTAAAGAGCAGAGTTCATGGTTCAGTTGCTGAAAGTCTCCAAAGTCCTGAAGCAACAAAGCATGTCCAAACCATCACACCACCATTTTTAAGATATGTTTTGTTAGTTGTACGCCAGATGTAACGAGGGACACACCTTCCAATAAGTTCCTCTTCTCTCTCATTAGTTCACAGAAGGATTTACCAAAAGTTTTAGAGATAATCCAGATAATAATTCCAAAGGCAAATAATTGTTTTGAGTTTTATTTTACTTAGCGGTATCAGAGTAAAAGGGCTGAACACAAATGCATAGCACACGTTCAGCTTTTTATTAGTAAAAACCTTTGAAAATCATGTATCTTATCCCTTCCACAATAATCCAGTATTATGTGTTGATCATAAAATCTGATTAATAGTCATCTGGTGTTCTTATGAAAAACGTGAGGAAGTTAAAGCTGTGAAAATACTTCTCCAAAGCGACTGTATATGCCCTCTACGGTTTGACGCAACTAATTGGTGTTTAGTCATTATGGTGTCAGACTAGATTTAAGTGTCTTACAGGTGTTTGCAAGTTTAAAGGGCAGCACATGTAAGCTAAGACTCATTATCATTTCTAAAAGCACACATTTTCTGTGGGAAGCATGATACATAGACAAGTATATAAGTGAACAGTATATAAAACTCTGCTGCACAGTCACTCATGCACAAACACAGTAGGACATACTGTGGCGGCTATGAGTCAGTGAGCACTTGTTAGTGGTCAGACTCCTTCCCTCCAGTTGGCACAAACCTCCAGTGACTCAGGGAGACTTGTCGACCAGGAGCCAGCATGAACAACAGTGTCAAAACTCACCGAAAGCTGTGGGAAGGCAAACAAAAATCAACTTGTGATAGATAATTTTTTGCACTTTCGCACGACTGAATCAGATCCTAAATATCGCATTTAAAGCTGGAAAAGGGAGTGACTTGCTGCTTGTCCGCAGCTCATTTCCATCACTCCTGTCCAGTGCAGGATCTTCGTTACACGGCTCACTGTGCCCAGAGTTTCCTCTGGTGGTGGAGAGCCCTGACAGGTTGTTTTGAGTCTCAGCTTCAGAGTTCATTTACAACCAGTCAGGCAGGAGTCCACCGGGAGTCTGATGATTTTTCTGACACCCAGACAAGCAGATGTTCAGAGGACATGAATAAAACATACAGCCCATCTGACCACGGAGCGAAAGCTCGACGAGAGCCTAATAAAATATGAGGTGTGATTTCGGTTTGCGAGGAAAAAAAGATGAAAAAAAAAGGAAAAGCTTTGTCAGATAAGTGGGATAGGGCATGAAATATGTATGACCTTAATGTAGCCTGGTCAGATTGGCTAAGCGAGGTTCAAATGTGGTTATGACAATCAAAGCTGAGACAGGTTTGTCAAGGAGCTGAAGTGGTGAATGGGAAGGAAAGTGAATGGACCCCTCATTAGCAGCCAGGAGTATGAACAGAAACATTATGTGACCCAAGTGTTTATCAACCGATAACACACCATGTGTGCTCCGCCTCAGTATTTTTCTCATTCTGCTCTTTCTGAATCTGGCTGTTTATTTCTTTTTTTGTCTCCACTGAAAAAGCAAGAGAAGGCTGGACTCGACCGTTGAGCACAGCAGGGGGTGGCAACAGCGTGCGCTTACACACCACCCACTCAAAGCTGCTCCTGCCCCGTGTTTTAGATGGAGAAGCAATCACAGTTGTCCTTGGTGGGACATTCAAGCAAAAATCAAGGTGCGATTGTGTTATTTGATTTCATTATTTAATTCCAGGGGACCAGCTAACAATTTGGGTGCATGTCCTTGTGTCACTGAGTCTTTTCATATTTCAATTACCGGCGTGGGAGGGGTGTCCTTGTGTGGACTTAGGAAATAATCAATTCAGATTAGATGAGTTATAACCGCACAGAAGAATATCTCAAAATAGATTTGGAGCTCATGCCTCACATAGTTATAGTTCTTGTCAGACGTTTCCATCCAATAATCAGTAGCATGGACGCATTATCCGCCATGCACTTTTAATGACACGATTTTTAGGGTGAAAAACTTTTTTTTTTTTTTTTTTTAAACT